TTTTGGTGCTATATAGAACCATTTTCAAAAAGGTTCTATATAGAACTATCAACAGCACATTCTCCATCAATCTGAAGAACCTGTCATGTTGCAAAGAACCTTTTAATCATGCAAAGCGTTTTTTGGCTTGTAGCAATTGTAGAACCTTTTTTGGTTCTACATAGATCCCTTCTCAAAAAGGTTCTATATCGAACCATATACAGCACATTCTCCATCAATCTGAAGAACGTTTCATGTTGCAAAGAACCTTTAAATCATGCATAGTGTTCTTTGGCTTGTAGCAATTGTGGAACCCTTTTTGGTGCTATTTAGAACCGTTTTCAAATAGGTTCTGTATCGAACCATCTACAGCACATTCTCCATGAATCCGAAGAACGTTTAATGTTGAAAAGAACCCTTAAATCATGCAAAAGGTTCTTTGAGTGTTCAGGGTTCTATATAGAACCATTGTCTTGACTGAAGAACCCTTGAAGAACCAACTTTTTTAAGAGTGTATAAGAAAGTCTATTTCAGATCACTCAGCATTGTGACGCATTTTGAGTCGAGTGTGACGATATAGACCTCCAGTTTGTGCCCACAGTCAGCGTCGTGTAGTTTGCATGGTGCTAAATGGTGGGCATAAACTTCCATTACTTGTTCTCAGCCCCAAGGTCATGGACATCATTGAGGGGTGGGGGTGGGGGGTATTCAGGACTTAAGCCTAGAATGTTTTAATGCCAGCACTGAATGATTTTCTCCATCTCAAGTTTATTAAAATGTGCTTTCCTTTATTACTTCTGTCACTTTATTGTACCCGCAGTATCCGTCAGGCCTCTCCTCTGGGACCCCCTCCACACTAAACACGAAGGCAGCAAAGAGAGACAACACACCAGGCATTAATGATTTTTCCCAAAAGCAGACTGAAAAGGAGGCTGAAGTTGTAAAAGAAGAGTCTCTGTTACATATTTTTAGGTGAAAAGCAGGGCAGGTAATAAGATTAGGAGGAGAAATTGTGATGATTTGAATATTGAGCTAAATTAGCCAGCTAGACAGTTAAAATGCTTACTACTGCACATAGCTAAAGCTCGGTAACCTGGCTGAAAGGTTTACTTGCTTGCTGTAATGTCATCCAATCTACCTGTGGCTAAAGAAAAGAATCAAGATTATTAGTTAGTGTTAGTCAGTGTTAATTAAGGATTAGCTAAATGTAAATTAATAATCATTTTTGCTGTCTTCCCTGCCCTCTTCTTCTTGGTGCTTTTGCACAGACAGTCATATACAAAAGTTTGGGCATCCCTGGTCAAATTATATGTTTGGTTGATTTTCTAAAAAAGATGTAAACATATTTTCACTTATTTACAAACAAATAGGAATTGTACATTAAAGTTCGTGGCATATTTAACCCCTTAACAGTCCAGGCTTATTCCATGCTAAGGCTTATTATTAATTACCTACAGGGACTTCAGTACAGACTAATGGAGCTTTTCTTAGGTTATAGAAGTGTGTAATAAAACTTAAGGGTAAGGGGCTAATTTGTTGTTTGATATTGTGCTCACTTATTCTTACTTAACAAATCATGTAATTTCACCAGGGGTCAAAACTTGCATACATGTGTATGAGGATCATTCTACCAAACTGGTTCAAAGTCAGAGTACAAAAAACATTTTGAACTTTTAACTGTTTTGATAGTGACTGTTTCGGTAGTGACAGTTTTAGCTAATTTTGATCAAAATTAAAAAAAAAATGCTAGCCAGTACATGAAAACACAGCTTTGAATAATTGTACACACATAAAATCATAATATTTTTATTAAAATACAAAAAAAGTTTACTTAATTGCAGAAAAATTATGTGTTTCGTTATTGACAATTCCGCACTGTTCCAGACTGACTGTTCCACACTGATTTTCAGACTTTTCAGACACAATCACATCAAAACAAAGAGATCTAACTGCTCACCATGGAGCCATGAGGGACAGGAATGCAGCCTCGCTTCCTGCTCTAAAATGCACAGGTGTGGCTAAAATAAGGCTCCACCTATGGACTAAAACTCTGTGTGTTTCGGTAATGATATGAAAACGTGGGACAGCATTGTTGAATAAAGTTTTTGCATTTAAAAATCAAACTTTTTTCAAAATGCAAATAACAATTGAAGTGTTATTTTCACACGTTGGATTAAGGGGTTAGGGTTTGGGATATGTAATAGAATACAATATACAATATAAAGTACCTTATGAATGACAATTTGTATATATTTAGCTTATTACTTACAATTAATGCCTTGGGTTTAAACAGATCATAATCTCGTAAATATCTAAGGTCCGAATACTGGGGACCACAGTTTGGTAGAATGGTCTCTATAGGCATATTAGCCCCACCTGACAGGCAGAAGTGTAACCCAGTGTTAGTTTAGCACGGCTTTGTTGACTCTTGGCTCTCCTGCTGCATCTGCTACGCGTGCACTGTTGGTCAAAAGCCAGATCAATGATTAGCCTCGACCCTTTCAGCAGAGGACACGGGCCATGCAATCACGGAGAGCAGCGAAGCATCATCGAGATGAAGGACAGAAAAGTCTTATTCTCCACTTCACAAAATGAACGGCATATTAAGGTAACATGGTATTTCTGTTGGGTTTTACAGTGACAGAAAAATGAAAACCATGAATCCATAAGCAAAAAAGCATTATTTTGTAATGTGAGAAAGATCAGAGTAAGGAAACAGTGTGTAAGGAGGCATATGCAAAAAACATACATGAAACATGAGTCGAAAAACATATGCAATTTTTTTATTTTTTTGGTAAAAAGGCCACAGTGTTGTCCCCACCTCAGAGACTATATTGTCATCAAATATTTGGCACAGCAAAGCAAGATCACATAATATAACTCCTCATCATTTTGGCCATTTTCAATAGGTTCTTAGAAAATGGCCACATGTACGAGATATGTTTACATGACAGCGCCCATATCACACATCATTATGGACCGACTGCTCACGTCACACGTTAAATGAAGCTGCAATTCAGTGTTTTTCCACTGACGGAGCTTCAGCACGTACTCCCCAACACAGCCGATTCACAAGCCACTCATTCTGAAGTCCATCAGATCAGCAGAAAAAGAAACCCAACCTGGCCGTACAGAAGCAGAGGACCACAGCACACATCGACAAACATGTTGCGTAACTGCTTGAATACTAATTCATCTACTTACTGATGAGCTATGATTCCTTGAAAAACACTTCCAGGAAAGTAGACAGCAAATGTGAGCAGAGCTGGCAGTTCAGAATGAATAACATTATAAGAGAAATTACCGCTATGACGACCCACAATCACCATACGGTCAGTCAGAAATCCATTTCTGCGATTAATGCAGTCAATACAGGGTCGCTTTCTAAGTACCAACCAATTTCTGTATTTCCATCAACTTGAAAGCATCATGCAAATTAAATGATGATCTTTAGCAACTACAACTCCCTTTTCAACATTCATTTCACAGAGCATTGGGTATTAACATTGCGAATGCTTTCACAAATATAAATAAATACATAAATAATCTATCAAAATTGCAACTTTATAGAAAAACAAAAAGTGTCCCTAACCTTAACGCATATAACACAGTTGTATTCTGTTGTAATACTTTTGGACCATTTCTATTGGTCCATTTATCATGAAATATTCAAACATGATAAAGGGCAGCTGGTAGTTTCAGTTGGTTAAAAAAGTTATTACATAATGATGTGGCAGAGATAATATTCAACCAATGCTGAAAAAAATTATATTTACTCCAAAACAAGGATTCTAAATGAATGGGGACTGGGCGGGTCTCGGACCTCCCATAAGAGTAAAAGGACCACATTTTATGAGAAAATGAATGCCCTCACATGAGGTGATGATTTTATTTTCAACTTTTGTATCATATTCAATGGTAGACCCCTCCCTCGGATGAACTGTAAACTCACCCAGTCTGAATTCCTAACAAAGCCATGCAACTTAGTGCACCAAGTTGCGTCAAACTGATTTAAAAGTGGATAAGTTCGAAATCTGCATGCATCTCAAACTGCTGAGGAACTTCTAATACTTAGCAGCCACTGCATACTCCAACAAATATGTTTTCATTTTAAGTTTTCATTTTAGGCAGCTTGAAAACATGTAATAGGCATTCACACAGGCCTAAAACTACCTACAACCAATATATAACAGGAATTTCAATTGACTGATTGATTCCATTATTGCCACACAATCTGTCGGTGGTATTGTCTCCAGTGCATCAAGATGCAATTCAACTCTATTGTAGCACAATACACATAACATACAATACAACACACCTAATTTTACCTAGTTGTCCAGTAAACTGAATTGTAATTTGGTTTGACTTCTGCTGATGATAAAATCAATTTTGTCACTATTTAAATGATATATTTTAATTAATTAACTAAGAAAAGTTGGCTATTAGATGTACTTGCTATGCTTTGTTGTTAGTGTAAAAATCATTTATACTGATACGGATATGAAGTAAAAAGACTCCTGCCTAGTCATGCTTGTGATAAACCTCACAAAGGATAGTATTCACAACATACATTGGTCACAACATAATCAGGCTTCCCATCAGGGACCCCCCCATCCACCCAATACCTCTGCCACAATCCACAATTTGAATTCCATCCAAAATGACACCACCCACCAACTAAAGTCACTAAAACTGCATAAAGAGATAGCAAGAAGTATCTCAGAAGGCAATGTCTGTCTTCACTCATGACATGAAGTCCAGTTCATCTCAAATCTGTTCTACAAATCAAAACCAATTAGAACCAATGTGTTCATTGTCGCTTAAAGACGGCTGGCCTTTGTTAGCCTCTGCTTGACCATGGAAATGAGGGTTTCCATTTTAACTCCACAGAGTCTGGACCTGTCAACAGGTTCAGACTTGCCTTGCCCACGCTCATAACTACATACGTCACAGTTTCATAGTAGCCACTTGATCATTCATAGTAGTTACTGAAAAATAAGCCTTAAAATTGTCGTTAAAGTCTAAGTAACGTTGAAGGTCATGAAGGCGCTGGTCATCATCTTCTTGCCGCCCTTGCTCCACAGACGAGGCCTGGCCAATCCATCGCTCTGATTCGAGCCTTCGCTTGAGCCGACCTCCACCAGACTGACCGTCTGTGCCGGCGGGGCCGCGTGGACCCGCTTCACAGGCCGCTTCTGCCCCATGCAGTCAAACAGCTTCCGGAAGCCCTTGCGGAAGTGCTTGGACACTAGCGCGTACACTATGGGGTTGAGGCAGGAGTTGGTGTAAGCCACCAGATGCGAAAGAATCCGCAGGACGTAGGTGGTGTGGTTGAGTGGAAAGTGGCCAAACCACATACACAGGATGACCAGGTGATGGGGCAACCAGCACAAGCAGAACAGCGCCGCTACGATGATGATCATTTTGGTGACCTTGCGCTTGGCCCTCCGGCACTCTGACATGTCCTGCATGGGGTCCACGCTGGTCCACAGGTAGCGGATGGTCCGCGCATAGGTCAGGCTGAGGACTAGGACGGGGATCAGATAGCCAAACACGAACGTGCAGATGTCCATGGCTCGGCGGTGCTTGAAGTCCCAGGCTGGGATGCAGACGGTGGTGCCGTCCAGGTCCATCTGCTGGTAGTAGCTGAGGTAAGGGCCGGACAGCACCAGGGAGACGGCCCATACCACGCCAATACAGATCAGAGCATTACGGGGGGTTCGCGTTTCTCTGGCACGCAACGGATATCGAATGGCCAAATATCTAGAAAGAAAGATCAAATATAATTTAAAATATGATTAATACTATATTTGTCTTTGTTTATTCTGGGTGTGCGGTACGCTTTATGTAATGTTGCAGCATTGTAATTGCAGCACTGAGTTTTTCTCTCATTATGCAAATTGGTGAATTCTATAATGGTTTATTATTCTGACCTGTTAATTATCACTGTAATTACATTCTCTCCCAGCACCCACTTTCACTGCAACCTATGCAACCTTCACACATTTTCCCCAGTCTAATAAAAACACATCATTATATTTACAAAAATTACAAGGTTGAAATTACAGGTGGGCAGCAGCTCGTTTGATTGGATTGGATGCTGTGAAGTATATTTCTGAAGAAAGGAATCTACTTTTCCCCTCAGCTCCATTTTAATCCACCTTAACTTTTCTCTTTTTTTGAGTTCATGTCATTGCATTGATAAAAAACACAGCTGATCAAGTCTACCTAAAACAATAGACTTCATTCACCAATATCTTCTTAAGTTTTTTCTTAAATTAGTTCCTGAGAAAAGTCCTAAGAAAACATCTATGTCAGATTCATGACGTGTTCTTAAACCTCAGAATTGTTCACTCCTTTGTGCTTTTAAGTGTGTAGCTTGTGTTCTTACTTAAGAACAAATCCCAAATAAGAAGACATTTGTGAATGTCAGAATCTTCGTGAAAACTGCGTAAGTGGATTTTAGGAAGAAATTTCTTTTTAAGAATGACTGGTGAATGAGGCCCAATAGCACTTGGATTGTTGATCACACCTCCCATTTCTGAGCTTTCAGATCCCCCACAAAAAGAGAACAATAGCAAGTTGAATTTCTGTGTGTCTAAAAATACAGAGATATATCCGGTTCATGAAATGACCGTGAAGGCTATTGAATATTAATATTGAATTTTCTAGTGAATATTTTGATTGTGTTATGCAAATTCACAAATACATAAATGTGGATGTACTCAGGTGATTCCCAACTACATATGTAGAAGACGGTTCCTCATTTGTTGTGTACGTCTCTGAAAAGTGTGAGAAATGAGAAATCTCAAAGACTTCGTTGATTGACGAAGATCCTCATTAAGCTACTTTTTATTATATTTTATTTCATTTACTTTTTTACCCTCTGTTGTAACAGAAAACTATTGTTTTATTGTACAATGTGGTCAGTGCTCTGTTTGCAACGTAAGGCTTGTGTGCCTGTAAAAGCTGACTGACAAATCATATAATAATACTAATACTAATACTAACACTACTCCTACTACTACTACTACTACTACTACAACAACTAATAATAATAATAATAATAATAATAATAATGATGACATTTTCTAAGCCACTTATCCTCTTGGGTCAGGGGGTGCTGGAGCTCATGTAATAATAAATATATATAGGAATATATAAAAATAACATGATTTTTACTCTGTTGTTAAACTGAGGTGATGGTACTTTTGTCTTATGCCATGTAATTTCTCATTTGAAATTAATACACTGCTAAAAATGTATATAAATGTATAAAATACATGTAAGACAAAAACACACAGCACAGAACACAAACATCCATTTAGTTCTTATACTTTTTTACTACCAAAGTTATTTTTAAGCTATTTTCACTTCTGCTCGAGTCCTCATGCCTCACTATAGTTTTACAGGCTACTTTACTGGCGGACAGCTGCGCGCACGTGCATGTGAGCTCTGCCTCAATGTGCTTTATATTCTGCTCTACCTGTCCAGCGACACGGCGGTGAGCGTGAGCGCGCTCGCGTGCATGGTGAGGTAGACGGCGAAGTGCACGGCTCTGCAGGTCAGCGGGCCGAACAGCCACTCGTCCAGAGTGTAGACCGCAGCCTGGAAGGGCACGCAGAGCAGGATGAAGCACAGGTCCGCCGCGCACAGGTTCACGATGAACACGTTGGTGCTCTTAGCGCTCGCGCGCCCCCCGCGCAGCACCACAGCCAGCACGAGACTGTTGCCCACCGTGCCCGCCACGAAAATCACCGCGAAAGCCACGGAGATGACCACAGACTCGGCCGTCCCGTTGGAGGAGAAGGGAAAATGCTGCGACGCGTTCATGTTTCCTCCACTCACTGCAGCCAAACAGCCTCTGTCCCCTCAGCCGTGGACCACCAACAGACGCGCAACAGGCATCAGCGTCCTCGCTCATGAGGCTGTGGAGTCGTCTCCTCCCACTCACTGCCTTCATGTGAGCATCACACTGGATGTGTACAGGATATAGGAACTGTACAGTGGCCTGCAGTGTCACTCACAACTGTTGGAGTTAAATATATATCAAAAAGGCTTTGTACTATGAGCTTTGTTGTTTTCAGCTTGATCTTGCTTTTCATATTTCTCATATTTTTAAATCATATTTGCCATATTTACAGTGGTTCTGTTCTTTTGTTTATTTTCAGTCAGCCTATCTGTCTGTCCATCCCTTCCTTAAGTCTATCTATCTATCTATCTATCTATCTATCTATCTATCTATCTATCTATCTACCTGTCTGTCTGTGCATCTATCTATCTATCTATGTATCTATCTGTTTGCCTGCATACCTGTCTATTTGTCTGCGTTTCTGTCGGTCTATCTATCTGTCTGTCTGCCTGCTTCTCTGTCTATCTTTCTGTATGTCTGTCTGTCTGCCTGCCTGCCTTTCTATCTATCTATCTATCTATCTATCTATCTATCTATCTATCTATCTATCTTCAGCTCAGTCCCAAGCCATGGCAGCCTAAGCCTTGCGGTCCACACTTTAGTGAAGTGAACAACTTGCAGACACTTAGAGCAACAGACCTCTTTTCAACCTAGAGCTTGTAAGTTTAAGATGTGCATTCTGGACAGTTCCGAGCACCATTCCTCACTCGCCACATCAGTTGTACAATGCCCCATCCCCTATCAGCCTCTCTGCAGTTACTCTGGGTGGCAAAAGTGGCAGCAGTGGTCCCTTGGCCACTCTCTGCTTCCTCCACCACAGCGGCGACAGCAACAGCACTTCCTCAGCCAGTTTCCATTTTCTCCTTCGTCTACTGTGCTGGAGATGCCGGTGAGGCTGCAAGCTCCAATGCTCAGCCTTGACCAGACACCATCGTTGTGCTTGGCTGCGCTGCCTTCGGCCTCCAGTCACGCAGTGCCAGCCTCGCCATGAGCTTCCTCATGCTGCCCCCGTCATCAGGCCTCCCCACGCCAGCCTTGCCACTACGGGCCTCCATCCAACCTCCATCTTCACCTCGCTGCTCCTCGTAGCAGTCCCTAGCCAGGCTTAGTTCTCCTCACTGTTTTCCTGCAGAGCTCAGCAGTCTGTCCAGTCTGCGAGGAGAGATCACACTTCTGACACCAGTGTGGTGTCAGTGTAGTAGAAGACAACACAGGAAGCACAGTGTTTTGAATGAGTGCTCTTTTATTGACACAGCAGTGGAGTGACCCACCATTCAGCACTTGGGATAGCAGGCAGGTCATCAACAGCCAACACTCTACATGATGGTAGACACTAACACTGTACTACCAGTGTCCCTATTGGAGCAACGAGCACAGACCACTACTGTTGATGGAGCACCGTCATGTAGAGGTGTGTGGCTGTTGATGACCAGCCTGCTATTCCAGGCATTCAGGACTGCAGAGTGCCAGGTCTCCCCTGCTGCTGCATCTTCTTCTACGCTGACACCACATTGATGTCAGAAGTAGAGTAGCATGAGCAACACATTTGCACATCTCCAAACTATCAGTGTCAACTATTTATATGATTTAAATCTCTTTTACCATCACAACACATTTTCCCTTGAATGAAACATGGTATCAGTAAGGGTCTCTCTCACTAGCTGAGTGTTTGTCTCTCAGGGATAGTTGGGGTTGGTGGGAGTGAGAGGTGAAAACATTTTGTTTTAGCAGTGGGAAAAGTCATTATATCATTTTGATGAAAAAAATAGTATTTTTGTCCATTACAAGGTAATCATGATTCATAATATTAGAATATGATCAGGGCCAAAACCTGGTTGACATATTGTTTTAACAGACAAGTAAGGTAGAGAAATGTCAGGTTTTTTATATCAGGTTGAAGTTGATGAAGGACTACAGGATGACTAGCACACTGCATTAACAGGTGGGCTACACTTACTAACACGACAGAGGTTATTAATAAAGTAAGTATAAGTTTTAGTAGGAAATTGAATAAAAGAAAGGCTTTGATTTTTGGGAAATTTGACATGTCTCATATTTCCTGACCTCCAGTAATACTTGAATATGCTCTATATAATACAGAGACTGCTTCATATTTTAATTGTAGTAGCAAAGCAAATAATGTTTAGGCCCAATAAAACTGGAACTTGCTCTACTAAAGATAATGACTTTAGAATAGCAAGAATAAACTCACAGAAGAACAAAAAAGAAAAACTTTGTTCCTCTTATATGACCGATTAGGATTACAGTTTAAAGGAAATCTTGATTCTTATTTGTTTTTCGAAACCTTGCACAATAAATTGTTAAGACTGATTCATTCAGAGTGGTTTCAGTCCAGAGAGCATTTGTTCTGATTTCATCGCATAGGTCTTCAGTGGGGTTGAGGTCAGGGCTCTCTGCAGGCTACTGAAGTTCCTCAACACCAAACACATCAAACCATGTCTTTCAACTGTTGCCTAGAAGTTGGAAGCATATAATTGTCTAAAATGTGTGCTGTTAACGTTCCCTTCACTAGAACTAAGGGGCCGAGCTCAAACCCTGAAAAATAGCGCCTGATCATCATCCTTCCTCCACCAAACTTTTTTGCTGGCACTGTGCATTCCAGTAGGTAGCATGAAGCATGATTCATCACTCCAGAGGGCATGTTTCCACTGCTCCAGAGTCCAGTGTGTTCAGTGTGGTATTGGGGAAAGAGCATGTCTAGTGTGTGTTTATTGTGGTCTGCTCACTGTGACTTTACACATTTGAGAAATTGGACACTTGCACACTTACTGGAAAGCACATGAACGTGTGCACAAAACAGCAAATGTGAACTTTGGAACAGGCCACAGGCTTGCCTGTTTTCACTAGCGTCTGATTTGAGTCATCCTCATCACCACAAGTCCCACTCTGCCCTCTAGTGGAGAGATTCTATTTTACTGCAAATAAATTATAGATATCATAGATCAGGGGTGTCAAACTCAACCAGTAAAAGGGGCCAGAGAAAAAAAAGTTTTGATTGATTTTTTTTTTTTTTCATGAACATTGTGCTATAAGCCAAACTGGCCAAACTAATTGTAGTAGACCTTGAAATATTACATGGACACTATAAATATTCAAAATTTAAATGTCCCCAGGAGCTCGGTCTTTTAAACCCACCTATTTGCTTGAACTAGACACCTGGCATCCTTCCTTTGCTGCAAGTTCATTAAGACTTGGGCTCAATTTCCGAGCTGCTGAGCTGATGTTCAATGTTTATGTTAGTTAAACTGCAGCTGAAACACATTTTGGTGATATGACTGGTGTAGAATTGTGTAGAAATGAGGTGTAACCTGTCCCATAGACTGTTGGTGGGGTAGAAGAGTCAGAGCACATTACGTCACAGTGCATGCTGGGGACTGTAGTGCAGTGCATTGTGAAATAGACTAATATGAATAGAAGATTAAAATACTTTAATAGGATTATGTGGCAGGCCTTGTGTTTGACACACGGGCCACAGATGACTAATGGATAGAGCAGTTTTGGAGGTCGCAGGGTTCCCCACTTTCAGACCTGAAACGCCTCTCCACTGAACAGCTAAATGCAATAGAAAAATTTATAATGGATTGCAACGGATATGAAACCAAGGAATTAGATTCATCATGTAAGAGCAAAGAAAACACTACAAGTGCAGGGACTGGGAAATGTGTATGGGAGCTTTGAAGCTCACCACATTTTCCAGGTATTTGACTTACAATCCTGCCAATAAATAACCGCTATTACAAGATAAATAAGTGATAATTAAGAATCACATTTATAAATCTTATAATAGATTAAAGTAACTAAGGAATACATTATCAAAGGCCTATGAATATGGTCAGTTCTTCAGACGTCATGGTCATATCAAAGGCATTGTCTTGAGTGTTAGTTTTCAAATCTACAGTGGTTTTAACCTTTTACCCTGTGAGACAGACACATCCTATTAGTGTAGCATCTATTCCTGGTTCATTGGCCTGTGTGGGGTCAAGCAGAGACCCAGAGACCTGACCCATTTCCCTCAGTGAAACCCCACTTCACCGTCTGCCTGCCATCCCTACCGTATGAGTCACACTTTTCCACCACTATATTTACACACACAAGGACACATTCAGCCACACACAGTCAAACACCGCTAAGTTTAATCACTTCTTTTTATAACTTGGGGTATCCAGGGGATGCAGCAGTCTAGGTCTTTTGTGCTTTTCTTTCCATTCTGTGATATTGTAATAAAGGGCTGAATTAGAGATGGCTCCAATGGGACAACAGTGGGTTACAGCGTAGAATGACTAAGATAAAACAATATGCAAGAACAACAAGGAGTTATCAACTTCTATTGCAATATTTCTTAGGAAAATGTCAGTCACCGCACATCATTGCGCAGAAGGGAAACTGTTGATTCCATTTGATTAAGAAGTGTTCAGTTTATTTTAAAGGGAAATTCCAACAATTTTCAAAGTTTCTGAATAATTATTTTGTTAAGATGTACCTGAACTCCTTCAGAGTGGTTTGATGTGAAACGCTCTGTTCTAGAGAAACTTACCGTGTCAGAATTGTTCACAGCGGTGGTGATAAAAACCAGATGTCGAAGCTTCCAGTGCCTCTAAAGGCTCCCTCACAGAGAGCTATTACTTGAAATAGTTATGATGTCTGAGACATTTTTTTAATGACAGTTTTGACAATGTTTTAGCCCAAAACATATTTTTATATCATAAAATTCATGGCGGATTGGTGTACATAGGGCAATGTAAGGAAAATAGTCCTCAAGGAAGTCCTCTAGGAAGAAAATATACTTTTTCACTGTTTTGCCATCATCAACATTACATATATAAATACAGATGTACACATTTTGCATAATAAATAAAATGGCTATATAGGTAGTTGGTATAGTGCATTATACAATGTACCA